TGTTCATTCACAAACATGGTTTTTGCCTTCCATTACCTTATTGATGATTGCATTGACATCTGGTTTTGACTGAAACTTGACATAGATATTAACACATTTCCCCTTCCTTAAATTTCTCTCTGAAAATTTCCGTTATAAATGTCATCCATGCTGCCACATAGCAAATCCCTCTCAGTCTCAGTCCCTGATGACTTTAACACTTTTTATTCTGTATAATTTTAGTTGAATGCACATTTCACCATCTGCCATGGTATAATTTGATCCTATGTCCCCAGAACGTCAACCTGTGGCTCTGGATTACCCGTTCCTCATTCTGCTCAATTTCTCTGCAGCTTTTGGCACAGTTGATTGCATCTTGCCTCCATTGACATAAGTCATTGACAAATGAAATAGGCAGAACACGATAGGTGAAATTTAAAGCAGAACCATGTGAAATGTTGCATGAATATAAGCTAAATTGTATAATTTACAGGGGTGCAAGAACAGAAATTTAGGGTTTGGTACACATACACAATTTTTTTTAAGATGGCAGGACAAATTGTGCATAAGATCAGGGACTCCAGGGAAGAAGGTGAGAAAATTGATCACATCACCATAGTGCAGGGGAGTATTCAATTCGCAAAGTTAAAAGGAATGTGGGTGTATGAGGGGACAGTATAGTACTTAGAAGCTAGGGACTGGACTAATTAACAGTGCCATAAAGGTAATAGGTTCTGGGTTACTAGCTGAGCTATGAGCAAATGGCATAGGGTAAATAAGATCAGAGAATTGGTGTGAAGGAGATGGGCTTTGATTCATGGGGCACTGGTACCAGTACTGGGGAAAGGGAAGCTATGAACCACACTAGAGCCAAAGTATGGGCAAATCATGTAACAGCATCTGTAGGGCTTTAAACCTAAGGGTGTTCATATGAGCAGAGATTTATAAATTCAATGAAAAAGGACAGAGCAATAGAGCAGGATAATGATGACCTAAGTGTGACAGGAGGGGACAGAGCTGACAAAAATGAGAATGCACCAGCAAATAGTCAGAATAGGCAAAAATGCCTCGTATAGGCTCCTTATCCAAAAGCTTACAGTGTTTGTAACAAGATGGATGAATAGATAGCACAAATAGAAATAAATGAGTGATGTGTGATAGCCATTACAGATACGTGGTTGCAAGTTGACCACAACTAGAACATGAATATTCAAGGGTGTTTGATATATCAGTAGGACAGAATGAAAGGAAAAGTAAAGTGAGGTAATTACTATCACAGAGACATAGCTGAGGGAGGGGCAGGACTGGCAGCTCCATATTCTAGGGTATGGAATCTTCAGGGAAAACAAGGAGGAATGTGAAAGAGGAGATTATTGCAATGTTGATCCAGAAGTCAATTATTGTAATAAAGAGGGATGAAAACTTAGAAAGTTGGTCAATTGAGGCTATATGAGTAGAACTTAGAAACAAAAGGAGAGTAATCACATTGTTGAGAGTGTACTATTGTACTCCAAACAGGAAGATATAGAATGGCAGATATGGAAGCAAATTTCAGAGAAGTATAAAATAATAGGGTAACAATAATGAGGAATTTCAACTTCCCAATACCAACTGGGATAGGCAACGTGAGAAAGGCTTAGAGGAGGTGGAATTTCTAAAAAGTATCCAGTAGAGGTTTTTTAAAACCAGCATGTAAAAAACCTAATTTTAAGGAATGAAGTGAGGCAGTTGGTAAAGTGGGGTCGAAGAGCATTTCAGTGACAGTGAGTATAACTCAGTAATATTTAAAGTAGTTATTGAAAAAAGGACTGAGCAATAAAGGTTTTGAACTGGAGAGAAGGGTTAATTTTTAATATCATAAGCCAGGGCCTGGCCAAAGTGGACAGGGAGCAATTACTTGGAGAAAAATCTATATCAAAGTAGTGGAGCCTTTCAAAAGGAAATAATGAATCTGCAGAGCCAACATGTTGTTGTAAAAGTGGGAGAGAGACTAAAAATTCCAGAGAACTCTACACATTGAGGAGTGTATAAGACTAAATTAGGAAGAAAAGGGAAGCTTATGGTACATACTGAGGGCTCAGAACACCAGAAGCTCCAGAGGCATATAGAAAGTGCAGTGGGTTACTTAAAAAAAATAAATTAAGCAAGTATAGAGGAGGCATGAAAAATACTTGCGGTAAAGTAAAGGAAAATTCAAAAGCATTTTATTATTGGAGCAAGAGGATAACCAGGGAAAGTCTATCAGGAGCAAGAGAATAACCAGGGAAATGGTGGGACCATTAAGGACCTAAGGGGGTAACTGAGTGGAGCTGGAAGATATAGGTCAGGTTTCACATGAGTACTATACATCTGTGTACTATACGAGTACTATACAATAGAGAAGAACAATGTTGGTGTAGAAATCAGGGAAGAGGTCTGTCATAGAGGTGAACAAATCACAGTTGAGAAGCAGGAGGTATTGGTGGTTTTCAGCAGGCTTGAATTTGGATAAATTCCCAGACCTAGATGAGATGTATTCAAGGCTGCTCTGAGAGGCAAGAAAGGAGGTTGCAGGGGTCCTGATATCAATTTTCAAATCTTCTCTGGATACAGATGTGCCTGAGAACTGGAGGACAGCTATTGTGGTACCATTATTCAACAAGGATGATAGGGATAAAGCAGGAAACTACCAACCAGTGAGACTAACATCAGTGGTTGGGTAAATATTACAAGAAGTTCTAAGGGACAGAATTAATCTCCACTTGGAGAGACCTTGGAGAGATAAGCATAGGTAGCTAGGCTTTGTCAGGGGCAATCATATCTGGCAGAGTTTTTCAGAAAGGTGTGAAGGTAGTGCAGGGGATGTAGTCTATGTGGACTTTGGTAAGGTAGTTAAAAAGATGGGAAACTGGTTAAGAGTCATGGGGTCCAGGGCAGTTTGGCAAATTGAATCCAAAATTGTCTTAAAGGCAGGAGGATGATGCCCAAAGCTTGTTTTTGTAACCGGAAGCCTGTGTTTAGTGGTATACAACAGGGTTCTTTGCTGGATCCTTTGCTGTTTGTAACATCCAGTAATGATCCAGACATGAATGGAGAAAGGTTTGATTAGTAAGTTCACAGATCACACAAAAATTGGTGGTATGCTAAACAGTGAGGTGGAAAGCCTAGACTACAGGACAATATAGTCGGATGGGCAGATCATCGGCAAATGGAATTTAATGTTGAAAAGTGTAAAGTGATGCATTTTGGGAGGGCTAACAAGGCAAGGGAGTACATGATGAATGATAGAACGCTAGAAAATACTGACGATCAGAGGGACCTTAGTGTGCACGTCCATAGATTCTTGAAGGCAACAGGACAGATTGAGGGGTGGTTAAGAAGTCAATGGGATCAGAGATAGTAGGAACTGCAGATGCTGGAGAATCCGAGACAACAAGGTGCAGGGCTGGATGAACACAGCAGGCCAAGCAGCATCATAGGAGCAGAGAGGCTGACGTTTCGGGCCTAGACCCTTCATCAGAAAAGGGGGAGGGGAAGGGGGTTTTGAAATAAATAGGGAGAGAGTGGGAGGCGGATAGAAGAGGGATAGAGGAGAGGATAGGTGGAGAGGAAACAAACAGGTCGAAGAGGCGGGGATGGGGCCAGGAAAGGTGAGTGTAGGTAGGGAGTTAGGAAGGGGATAGGTCAGTCCAGGGAGGACGGACAGGTCAAGGGGGCGGGATGAGGTTGGTCGGTAGGAGATGGAGGTGCGGCTTGAGGTGGGAGGAGGGGATAGGTGGGAGGAAGAACAGGTTAGGGAGGCAGGGACGAGTTGGACTGGTTTTGGGATGCGGTGGGGGGAGGGGAGATTTTGAAACTTGTGAAATCCACATTGATACCATTGGGCTGCAGGGTTCCCAAGCGGAATATGAGTTGCTGTTCCTGCAACCTTCGGGTGGCATCGTTGTGGCACTGCAGGAGGCCCAGGATGGACATGTCGTCTGAGGAATGGGAGGGGGAGTTGAAATGGTTCGCGACTGGGAGGTGCAGTTGTTTGTTGCGAACCGAGCGTAAGTGTTCTGCAAAGTGGTCCCCGAGTCTCTGCTTGGTTTCCCCGATGTAGAGGAAGCCACACCGGGTACAGCGGATGCAGTCAATGGGATACTTGTTTTATTTGTTGTACTCATCTTTGTGAGTCAAGACATTAAATACAAGAGCAGAGATGAAGCTGCGTAAGACATTAGTTGGGCTACAGCTGGAATACTGTGCGCAGTTCTTGTCACTGCACTGTAGGAAGGATGTGATTGTAATAGAAAGGGTGTCGAGGATATTCACCAGGATTTTATCTGGGCTAGACTGTTCTGTCCACGAAGAGAGACTAGACAGGCTGGGGTTGTTTTCCTTAGAGCAGAGATAGCTGATTGAAATGTACAAAATTGAGGGGCAAAGATAAGGTAGATAGGAAGAAACTTTTGCCCTTAGTAGAAGGATCAATAAGAAGCAGGCATAGATTTAAAGTAAAGGGGAGAACGATTAGGGGGTTTTAAGGAAGTTTTCTTATCCAGAGGGTGATCAGTGTCTGGTATTCATTCCCTGATAGGGGGGCTAGAGGTGACAACAATTGCAACATTAAAGAAGTATTTAGATAAATACTTGAAATGCCATAGTGTACAAAGCTACAGCCCAAGTGCTGGAAAATGGAATGAGAGTAGAGAGGTGCTTGATGACAACCATGGACATGATGGGCCAGAAGATCACTTTTCATGCTGTAAAACTCTATGACTCTAAACTCTATTCCAAATGGATATACTATCCGTGACTAACTAAAGACGTTAAGGGTGATAGCAATTTGAATACAAATGCAAACAGTGCTGTGAGGTTTAGTGGTAGACAAGAAGATTAGGGAAATTTTAGAAATCAGCAAAGGATGACTGAAAAATACAATAAAGAAGGACAAATTTGAGTATGAGAGAAAACTAGCAAGAAACAATGACAGTCACTATACAATACAGCAATTAGGGCCTGTTCCTCAAGTTGTTTTATTTTGTATCTTGCAGGTACAAAGAGGGCATGCTGCAAGCCCAGACACTGGATCCAAATACAGCTGTCCTAGTGCAGAGAGCAACAGAAGGATTAATTGACAGTGTAGAGCAGACAGGCCCTAATTCTATCCTCGACTGGGAGGTGGACGAATTACTTGAGTGGACAAATGCACTGAACTTTGAAAAGTAAATCAACATTTCGTTTCAAATGCATAAATTGTAGTTATTATTCTTGGCACTGTGGTAAATTCCCAATAAGTCAAATCCCAGGGGATCTGTCCACAAATTTACGTTAAGTAGAGGTTCAAATTAACTGAGGAAATTGCATTTTAACCTGATTTGCCCACAAATGCAATCTGTGTCAAAAGTGCCAAACAAACACAGTAAAGACATAAATATATATAAAAAAAATGTCTTTAATTCAAATTATTCACACCTTACATCAGTAGCGGGCTTTCAGGTTCCTGATCTCTCCTGATCCATTTGTTAGAGTTGGCCATGATGTTAGGGGAGCTACAATATCAGTTTGATACTCTTAAGGCCAGTGATGGAGGGGTGTGCAGGCTAGTTGTAATAATTATAATCTCCCATTTTGTTTGTTGACCTGTTTTGTTCACTTTCCTGATTTCATACCTCAAAAATGCTGGAGGTCATCCAGATGGTTTTGTTAGCCTCATACTTCATGGTTAATGTCTTGACATTCATTAAGCAATATGGTCTCTAGGACATTATTATCCCAGAAATGATAGCTTTTTGGTGTTATCTATGTTGGTGCAGACTGTAACAATAACACATTCCTTGCATGTTTCACCTTTTATCATTAAACAGCAGTCTGGCAGAAAGATCGTGAAAACAGTCTGTTTTCTTTCATATTGAAAATATCTTTTGATGTATAGTCATTCAGGATGTGGAAGAGGTCATTTCCTTTCATAACCATTGCATCCTCACCAGCTATCATGCAAGAAGTGATACCATTCTTTGTCTTGAATCAATCCAGCCATACTTTGCTGCATATCCTTGTGACCCAGCCTCTTTGACATGGCAGTCCTTTTTTCTGCAGGATTGGACTGGAGATGGGAATGCTCTCTGCTCAAATATCTTGAACCATGTTAGTAGAGCTTCTTTGATGTCGAGATAGGTAGCCATTCTCATCATCATTTTCACAACACACAATGTCTGCTTGTCAAACTGCTCCAAGATTTCTGTCTTGTGTTTCAGAATTGTTGACTAACTCAGTGATGAAATCTCCCACTCACTGACAATGTCCACTTTTTGTTTCATGTCATGTTTTTCCACTTGCTGGTTCGATTTCAGCTTCTCTCCTGTCGACGTCTTTAACCTTCTCTCGGGCTTTGACATGCTTTCACAGGGAGATTTTGATCTAAAATAATGCCTTGCCTAGTACTCCATGACTCTGTACTATTGTGTGGCCTAACTTTGTCTGTTTGGTCAGAACACTGATACAACAAGCTTAGCCAACTTTGACTAATCCAGAGTTACTACTTCAAAGGTTTGGCTAATCATAGGCAACAGACTATTGGATTTGCTGTTTGGCTAGTGGGAATGACTGAACTCAACTGGAGTTTTGTATCATTCAAATTTGACTCATCACAATTTCACTGTCATTAGTTCAACAGAGTGCGTGAAAAATAAGTCTTTATACTGTGCTCATGAGTTTTAATTGTAAAGGTAAAGTCACCGTAATTCTGCTGGACCACAGGGCTACTCTTCCATTAGAGAGAAATGACTGGTGGTGGTTTAACCTGGGGGGAGGGAAGTGAGGGAAGAAGTTTAGAAGAAGCGTCCTTCATGATAAACTCAGCCAGTGCAGGAATTGAACCCACGCTGTTGGCATCGCTCACCTGCCGTACAGCTAATTTAGATATCCAACCTTTTTCTGTATTAGAACTGCAAAACAGCTCTAATACTGCACTTGCCCATTAATCAAAATATAAATTATTCTATAGTGATGACATTATCATGACTTTGAATGCAGTGAAAGGCCATGCCAGATTTTATTTTTCATTCCTGGAATATGGACATGGCTGGCAAGGATAGAATTTGTTGCTCAGCTCAATTTGTTCTTTCATAGTGGTGCTAACATGTGACTTAACTTTTGTCTTGGACCCATAACTCCTACTGCCCTTTCTTAATAACAGAATAAATAAAAGCAGGACAAGGCTCCTCAAGGCTGCTGTACATTCAATAAAATCATGGCTGATCTTCTACCACAATTCCACTTTTCTTTCCTATCTCCACATACCATTGTGCCCAAAAAGTTAAATCTGCTTCTCAGTCTTGATTATACACAATGATTGATCACCTAGAGGCCTCTGGGTGGAAAATTCCGAGAGATTCACAACCTTTTGAGTGAAGAAATTCTTTTGCATCTAAAAATGTGTCAATCTCGTCATCAAACTTTCAATTAAGCTGACATCCATTTTCTTTCGAGAAACCAAATTATTATGCATCCCAAGTTTAGGTTCACCTCAGAATTTAACCCTTTAAACACTGTTGTTTTGGTAAATCTGCAAAGTCCCTTACTTCAATTTCAATATTTCCTTCTATTGGTGCTTTGCCTAGTTACGAATTGAGCAGTTTAAATTGGATCTGACCAAGACTCCATAAAACTGAAGAATAACTTATTTTCGAATCAGAGATAGTAGGAACTGCAGATGCTGGAGAATCCGAGACAACAAGGTGCAGGGCTGGATGAACACAGCAGGCCAAGCAGCATCATAGGAGCAGAGAGGCTGA